TGGTGAATTTGTTCCAGAAGATGAGTCAAACAATTTCTTATATGCATCAATTGGTGACAACAGCTGTCCAAATGAAGGTCTTACATTTTTAGATTGTTTATTTCTGTTACCTCTACCATCTCTTCTGCAATATTGATCCTCAGAAACATCATTTGATGACAAGTTAACTGAAATATCCTTGTCGTCATCATCCGAAGCCTCTCCATTAAGATAATACTCGCCAGTAGGGTCATGTATGTCTGCATAGTGACAATGTCTATGGCACATCTGGTTGTGTGCAGCGTGTTCCCTCAAGTGTTTCTTGAGTGTGCGGGGGGCCAGGCAGGAGAAGCAGCAGTAGGGGCAGTACTTGCAGTCTTCTTCTATGTGGTCAAGGTAATGCTCGTTCAGAACATTGTGGCTGGGCTGAGCGAGGCCGCAAAAACTGCAAGTGAAGCTCCCGATCTTGGTGACTTGTGGCCGTGTTTGTGAAGGAACTTCGAGGCAGTCCTGCAATCACAGTAAACAAATTAGAAGAAATCCTGCAATCAAAATACAAAAATTGGAAAAGTATCAAATAAGCAGCCATTAATGTAATAACAATGGATGTATAAACCTTATTATTCCAATAATTCTAACATTTGAATGAACAGCTTGAACATTGAAACAACATGTATAGTTCATTAGCATCTATCAGAACATTTTATATTAGCACCACCCATAATTCAAACTTCTATTAAAAATGAAATGGGACAACTGACCTATACAGGATTTGGTTAGAAAATTACATATCTCAACAGTTGATCAACTGTTAATCATCTCAATTTAAAAATATACAAATGTTTATAAATAAATTCCGGAAGACCAAGTACCTACACAGCTGAGCAGTTTTTGAGAAATAATGCTTATTAATGAATGAGTAATATTTAATGTTAATAATGTTTAATGTTCGAATAGGAAATAATTTTTAAACCAAAGCAGAGATAATAAACATTTTGTGTGTTCTTACTAATAACCCATATAGGTTTCAATAAAGTGACATTAGAAGTAGTATTTTTGGCTCAATTACAGGCACATATATCTGATATATAATATGTATCAGATATGTATAACATATATCTGATATATATAACACCTATGTTCACTTAATACCATTTTGATTTTCAACATACCGTATGTATTTGAAATTGAATAATTAAATATTTGATGGCAATTGAGTTCAAGGTGTGAATACTTACAATAAATTTGTGGCAAGAACAGCTGAATTTTCACCTGAACAGCGGAGTGTGATGAGTCAAGAGCCTCAGCCTCGTCTTGGTCCTGGTAGATGATGAAGAGAGGCAAGCAAGGCTCCAGCAGCACTGAGAGAGCTTCAGGCCTCTCATACTCATGATCCATTGCGAGGCACTCTAATACCAAGACAATTTAATGGAAATTTTTTGCTATGTCCAAATGATTAGAAAAAAATATAATTTTTGCATCTAAGAAATTTTCTATGAGCTCCAGAAAATCAATAAGCATCAGGATTATTTGTAGTTAGAGTTGATATGTGAAACTGTGAGCTTGCTGAGCTATACAAAAGATTTGTTTTAGTATTAAACCATGATGCATGTGTGGCTATTAAATTATGTTCTCGCATGTTTTAATAGAAATGTTTTATAGAAAAGAAATAATGGTGTTATGTTATAGGATGCAATTCACTGGCCATTCAAAGTTAGAAAAAGTATGCGAGCTTCAATGGTAGTTGGCATCATTGGTCAGTTTTCTTGACTTCAAAGGCATCATTTAGATGTGCATATAAAATGCCAGAGATACCTACCATACTTAGTTCACTAAGTTCCACAATGTTCACATAGTCGGGAATGACACTAGCATCACCTGGCAGGCCCCAGCAACCTGGGAAATAAAAGAAATCAATACAAAATCACAAATTATTCTGCTTTACTTCAGTTGTTAGTTAGAAATGACAAAATTTTTTGGTTAAGTATGATAAAAGTTTGGAAATTGTTCTACTTAATACTAAAATCTAGTGGCTCCAGAGATATATTTTTGATAAATTTGCAAATCTTGCAGCTTAGTTGTATAATTTTATGAACAATTAAATGGAAGAAGAAGATTCATCGAGCAGAAATCTTGCCACTCCAAATGACGGCAAAAGCTCTATTTGCGCCTCAGAAAGTAGAAATATTACAAGCCAGGTATGAGTTAAACTATAGAACAAAGAATATTTTGATAGATAATTTCACACCACAAACCACATGAAGGTAATGTTTGTTCTCTCAAAGATAATTAAAATAATTTAAAATGGGTGAAAATTTAATATATTATTGATTAACCTAAATATAATTTTAGTGCATTTATATATATCAATGTCTAATCGAGTAGCAATTTTCATTGTGTCAATAAAGAAACAATGCATTCTTGGATGCAGGCCAGAGTGCAGAAAGTGGGTGAATATCAAAAGATCTTTGGCAACGCATCAGCAGCCAAATTTACACCTTCAGAAGATCTTGCTGATACATTTGGATTGAAATTATTGCATTTTAGAAATGACTTTTAAATTATTGTAAATCTGGAAGACCACAAGTGCACACAGTAAGGTTTACAGTATGTTGGATTGATCAGGATGCAGTGAAGCATGTCTGGAAATCAGTTGTGATGAGCGTAATTGATGCTGTGTGTGGAGAGTAAGGAATATACCATCTAAGTTGTTAGCAGCATTTTCTTATTAAAAATTACTGGCAATGCATCTTGAAAATGGCTGGCAAAGCTTTGGGCTAAAAATCCATATCCTGGTGATGGCGTGATGCTGCTTGCACCCTCTGCACCCTGGCATGCAGATAAAGAATATATCAAACTTTCATGCCATGTCTAGAGATTTTCAAAAATTTTTTTTTAGCCACAAAATTCCCATTAGATAAAATACCTCTCATCTTATTATAACAAAATGTCCCATCAGTGGCAAGATTCTAAACGTATTTCAAATTTATCACTTTAAAGGTGTAAAATTTCAGTAATAAGTATAAAAAATTCTAATTCTGCAGGAATGCCAGAGTGGAACAGTTGGCAAGAGAATTGTATTAGGGTAAACGCGGTATATTCCGACATCGTAGGTAATTCCGTCACCTCTCCAGCTTTTCCTTTATATTAAGCTTTGTTTTAGTTCCATGCGTTCATTGATGGTTGAAATGGTGACGTCATACATTTGCGTGTCGAAATAATCATTTCTCGATGCGTCCTTAATGTGTCGGAATATACCGCATTTACCCTAGTGGATGAAAGTGCCAATGAATTAGGCAATTTTTACCTATCCCTTGGACTTTTCGCATTATGAAAAATAAAGGAACTGCCTATTTTCAAGAGTAATTTTTTAAAATAAACTCTGAAACAATGGTTCCCACCTAAATTTTAAGAAAACTTCAAAATTGGCTGTAATTGATAGAGAAAGCTTTAAACTAAAATTTTATATCAATAATGATATATGGGCATAATATGGCCAAATAAATCCAGAATGAATATCAAGCTACAAGATTTCAAATTACATAGATTATCATTTTTTGGACAATATTTTATAAAAAATTAGATTAACCAATCTTTTATTTGCTAACTGACATTTATGATTTAGAGGTAAAATTTTCTATAAAAATCATACATTCTGACTAGATATAAGCTTGAAATCTTAAGCTATAATTCCACATTATATTCATTGATTCAGTTTAATGGAAAAACCAAAAAAAAAAAAACTCCATATAGTATAATTTAAAAATTCATTTGAAGTTCAAGTTAAATGATACCTAATTCGATTCAAATTTCAATGGATGATGGCCCGATGGGTTTAGTAGTTACAATTCATCAGAAGTGGCATTGAGAGTAAAACTAAATTAAATTTGAGGTTGAGAAAACTAGTGAGTTGATTATTTCCCACTAGCAAGTGAGGTTGTTTGTCAACAATCCTCAAATCTCAATGTCAATGAGTTAATGTCAAGTTGTCAACTTGTAAAAAAAACGAGAGTGCAACAGTAACGCCAAATGCCATTCAGAAATATAAAGAAGTTCTTTACTGTTGATCATTTGCATGTAAGTTACGTCATTACAAACATTTTTCAAGTAAAATCCAGCATTAAGCATAATAAATGTGGATAATTCGACTCACATTGAAGTGTTTATCACGAGCACTTCACGCAGCTGAGCGCACCAATGCGGATACTGATGGCGTCCACATATGTATCCTAAAACGCAGACAGGGAATGGAATATTTCTAAAAGTTATGCTAGACCTACCATGGTTCAACCATGTAGTAGGTCTCATGGTTCAACCATGAGACCTACAACCTGTTTTAGTATGCTGCTCTTTTACATATTAATACTTATATAGTATTAAATTCAATCCGTTCGCTGATTTTGTTATTTTCATACCGCAAAAAAATCTAAATATTATTTTGCATCCAGGAATCAGTTTGAATTTATGATCAGTGGAATTAGTGTTCTCGTCTTATTAACTCTATAGTAGGTCTTTAAATCCTAGTCTACTTAACATATAACGTTTGCAGCGATTTTAATTGTGCATGAGCGTCTCAATGACAATAGTTGAACCAAGCTTACGAGTGTTTCCATGACCATAGTTGAACCAAGCTTACGACTCACGAGGTTCTTTATGACAATAGGTGAACCAAGCTTACGAGTGTCTCTATGACCATAGTTGAACCAAGCTATCGAGTGTCTTTATGACCATAGTTGAACCTAGCTTACGAGTGTCTTTATGACCATAGTTCAACCAAGCTTACGAGTGTCTTTATGACCATAGTTGAACCGAGCTTACGAGTGTCTTTATGACCATAGTTCAACCAAGCTTACGAGTGTCTTTATGACCATAGTTCAACCAAGCTTACGAGTGTCTCTATGACCATAGTTGAACCAAGCTATCGAGTGTCTTTATGACCATAGTTGAACCATGTGTGCGTTCAATACGAGTATGTCAGTATCCATTAGAAGTGTTTTGTTCATTCATTATCGCTGATTAGAAAGCCACAACACGACGGCGGTCAGAGCACAACGGTCAGGCCTTGAGGTAGGTGGTTGGTTGATGATGCTCTGCGTCACCTGCATGTCCAATTAATTCTATTACTATCACTTTGCTTAACCCATGTCAGACTGTATAGTTTTATTTCATAACCGTGGTGTCAGTAGGTACGTTGTAGCTATTCCGTCCATCCCTGGTAAAGCGTCTGTACTTATTCTTAAATGTGTGTTTCTATAGTACCTTATGTGAGTGTGTTTAATACCATACATGTAACTTTGTATTCTATTTTTTGCACATACGTACATGTGTGTCTGATACAAAACGCTGTGTGTGTCTAAAAATTTGCGCGTATGCAGGTGCGCTTTTTTTTCTTTCGTGGAGTCTGAATTATAGCTTAGATACATGTTTATATTTGACACTTAAATTATACTTATTGTAGGGTGACGATGATGTCATCTACGAGTTAGATCGTCCTAGATCTTTGTTATGAGACTTGAAGCTATAAATATGCATTTAATTAAATTTGATATAAGGTAAAATGGTAAGTACCTTTTGCAATTGAAAAGCATTGAAGTGTTAATACGGCATGAGAGTCTGCTGGGACAACGAGCTCGCTGTCTGCGTGCAACGTGAACGTCTATGGTCCGGCTGTACGGGACCTCACCGCTCCCTGTTATTTCTTTTTTTTTACTCTCGTCTTTTTTGCAACTGAAGGCTTGCGGGCGGCTTTGTGCTCGGTGTAACAACCTACGTAGTGTACGTCCTTTGCTTCTTCGCGCGCTAATACATCGTGCTAAAGTACAAAACTCTATTCTTGCTGAAGTCAATTGTATAATAATAGCGGTTTCAGCGTTTATTAGGCCGTAGGCCTGTCACCGATTCTTAACATCGCAGAACATTCACAGTAATTTGCGGTCTCGAACTCACAACTCACTGCTTCAATTCTGCTGTGCTTAACCGCCCGGCCTCCTTGCCGATTCTGACCAGAAACTGGCGCACAGAGCTGGGATTTATCAATTAATTAATCATAAATTAAGTTATTATTTGGTAGTTTAACTGTCAATTCAGTCATGCCGCGAATATTGAGTGCATTGCCTGAAACACTGATTGCGGAAACATTGGTTGGCGTTAATGTATCGGCCTTAGTTAAAACGCTTTTTCACTAGCGTACATGTAGACCCTGTATGCAGAAAGCCATCAAATAGACTTTCGTTGACGATTAATCTCATGATAGGGACGCGCGCGTTTTCGGCGTCACCGCTTTCGTATAAAGTGGTTAGGTCATTTTTAATAACATAACATATTGCTGTCGGCGCTGAAAAAAAGGCCTGATATGGCCTGTCACCGATTCTTGTACATTTCATGACTTGATCACAGAAGATCTAGAAACATGTCCCTTGACCGGATCTCTTCATGACTGACGATAGTTTGAAATAGCTACTTTATATATAGGCTTTCACCGGGTTCACCGTCATGGAACATTTGTCCCAAGAGGAGCATTATGCATTTGCATTATGATTTCGATTTTGCAAAAGGTACTCACCATTTTACCTTACGTTAAATTAAATTAGTAGCATATTTATAGCTTCAAGTTTCATAACAAAGATCGAGGACGATCTAAAATCTTCCCGTAGGGAGGAAGATGTAAGGTGACGACCCTAATATTATATTCGTCCCTGGATATTTCCTCATTAATATCTTCCTTGTTGAACGAAAATCTCCTTCACTGCGATATGTTCACAATTAAACATCTCCTTGTGATAGCCTTCCCAGTTTATCAAGTCAAGCCCTTGTTGACATCAAATGGCGAAGTTACGTATCTAAGCTCTGTATAAGCTCTGTCCATGTCAAAGAGGGTATACCGCTGGGTATACCCTCTGGGTATACCAAATGGGTATACCGCTGTCGGTATACCCATTGCTCCTGTCCATGTCAAAGAGGCCAGTATAACTGCTATTATATTCAGCGTCTGAGTAGAGGACGTCCCGCGGATATACTCTAGACTTATTCATACTTCAACTGGACCCCGAAGATATCAGTGTATACATATAACCCTTTGTATATCATCCTAAACTGTTAGCCGAACTTTAGTCCTAAACTTTATTGTATAATAGTTTACGCTATTCCTCAATATCCTCGGATCACGCTAATACTTAACGTGTCAGTCTGTATATAACACATAACGTGTGTGTTATTGACTTATTGCTTAATACATGAAGATTACGCGTGTGTGTCTAATAGATAACGTGCATCTTGTAAATTATAATCAAACATTTCATCGTTTGTTTAGTTGGTTATCTTGGTTAACTTAATACAAGATTTTGGAATACAATCTACAGTTTTCTGAACTACACCTTACTGATATTTATGACCCATGTACAAAAATTATTACCAACTCACGCAAATACTTACACTGATTCAGAGGTCATTAACCTAAACTCAAAGAAATGAGGTAACGTTGTCTAAATTGCAATGCACTTTTTGCCTTATGGCTTATTGGCCTGGCAAAATGGCAAGTCAGGGCTCCGACCGATCTTTGCTCTTGCTGTGGGTAAGAAGGCGCGTAAAAATTTGGATAGAAGTGGTCGAGTGAAACATCAATTTTTCTGAGTGTACAGCAGCAGATGGTGCCGGCACATTCTAAGATGAAAGCGGATGACATCACCAGACGCTCCCCTCAGGGTCGATTCTATTTAAACAATTTCTCTGATAAACAATTTCTGCTTGCCATGAGACATAATAAATTGAGTCAGAATGTTTGATGTCCTCTGTTTCATAACAAGTTATTTAAGTTATTTTGTCAGCATCTACGAAACAATAATACGAATGTTACTGGCTAAAACTGCATAGAGAAATTTGGCCTATTTGAGCCATTACATGGCATCGTTTTGGTTCATCACTTCATCACACTCTGATGACTTCATATCAAAGTGTGCTTACATGGCTAGAGAACAGAGAACTCTTAGGACTTGAAAAATGTTCATGTTATTGCTATATCCTTTTATTATAATAATAAGTTTTTCATAAAAAATGACAAATTGATCATAATGTAGCCGAAATATAAGATTAAATTATAACATCTAAACAGTTATTAATTACGTAAATATCATCATAAACCTTAGTGGACTTAGCCTCACCATCTTAGCTTAACTTAGCCCTTAGCTAAGGGCTTAGATAAGGGCTAACTTAGCCCTCACCCTGTCCACAAAACTTTGGGGCTTAGCTCCCTTTGCCCTTTAAACTTGGAGGCTTAACGCCCCCTGTCCTCAAAGTTTGGGGGCTTATATATAGCGCCCCAATTGTCCTTGTGGTTAAGTGGTTAAAGTTCAGAGTACCGTGATTGTCGCAGAGAGGCGCGGGTTCGATCCCAGCTCTGTGCGCCAGTTTCTGGTCAGAATCGGCGAGGAGGCCGGGCGGTTAAGCACAGCAGAATTGCATCAATGTTTTGCGATGTTAAGAATCGGTGACAGGCCTACGGCCTACTAAACGCTGAAACCGCTATTATTATTATTATTATTATTATTATTATTGTCCTTAAAACCTATATAGTGACGCCCAGGCCACAACTATGGTTGAACTCCTAAGAGGAATACAATTGTATATTGGACAAGACTGAGGTTCTATAAACTTTACGGTCCGTATGTCCTTCTAATAAGTTAAGGATGTCCTCGTCCATTGTCACGCTGATGTACCACTTTCGTCATCTACCGTCCCTATATAAACCGTCGACAGATGACGGTTTATCGGGCCATCGGGCAGGGAGGTAAGTTTGAACGTGGCCGCCGTGAATAGTGCATTGTGTTGGTGGCAACTGCAGGTAGTCAAATACCGCTACAAATTATGGCAAAGTCATTTGATGAGAAAACAACTTAGAGTTAATTCATTTGCTCATAAACGTGCAGGTGCAAAATGAAGCTGAGCAACGGGGCTGCGGTGACCCCAGTGACTGGGGAGGAGGCCGAGGACTTGCTCAAGAACTTCCCCGGGTACGTGGACGGGCTGGTGAGGGCGGGGCCCTCGCGCTGCCTCCTCCCCACCGCCTACACCCGCTTTGCTGAGGAATACCTCAACTTCAAGGTGCTTAGGGTTGGGGCTTGAGGTTAGGATAAGTACCAGTCATGTCTCAACTGGGTGTTGGAACGAGTTTTTTTTTTTGGAACGTTCAAGCACCCAAAATTTTGGGTGCTTAAACGTTAATATTCAAGTTATATTACCAGAAAGGCCACAAATTTTTGGCCTTTCGGTATTTAAGAAGCTTAATCCCTTCGACTGCACAATGTTGAAGTCAAATCGCTACACGATTTCTAATCCGGTGCCGCAGTTCCGCAGCAGTGACGTCTTGATCATGACCTACCCCAAGTGCGGCACCACGTGGACTCAGGAGATCATTTGGACCATGTGCCACAACCCCAACCTCGACAACCCAGATGCCGACCTCATTGGTTACATACGGTCACCTTTTCTGGAGTAAGCTACACGACGTTAACAGTATTAAAATAGGCTTTGTTTCTAGCGTGGAAATACGGCAAACTAATATTCAAGAAACTCGTTCATTAGCGAGTGTCAAAAATATGTCTCTGTGAAAAGGTAAAACTTATCATGGTTCACTCCAATTATTTACCTCAATTAATAGACATGGCAAATTGGTAGTAAGTTTTGTCTCTTATAGGAAAGATTTCCGAGCCTCTAGCCTCTAAGTAAATTGCCGTATGAAACGATATTGAAATTAGTTAGTGTTTCTATGAGCTGATATTTTAGATTTAATGGTTTAGCTGTTGCATTATTGTCTTACGTACGTTCTGTTTGTCGAAAGTGTTACTGATGTACACTTCTTTCAGGTTCGACTCTTTGACGGACGTGATGCATAGAGAAGCTGGTCAAAATTCTGCGATAGTGGAGGGGCTACAGAAGCGAGACCCCACGGCTTCACCAGACGCCGGGGTGTTCTTGGGGCTCACGAAAGTGGCTGATGACCCTCGCATCATCAAGACGCATCTCCCCTTCAGCATCCTGCCGCCCAACCTGCTGGACACCTGCAAGGTGGAGTGGTCAACTACGAGAAGAATATTCACAAGCAAACTAGGCTACCGTGCCAGGTTGTTACCTAGCAGCCTAGTACTTTAAAATTGAGTCATATGTTCGAAAGACCAATAAGATAACTAAAGAGTCAGTTTTTCATAGCCTATTATGTTCCCTCTCCTCCTCCCAGAATGTGTCTTACCCTCACCCCAATTCTTCCCCAGGTGGTGTACGTGGCCCGCAACCCCAAGGACGCTCTGTCCTCCTACCTGCACCACCAGAGGCTCATCAAGGTGCACGACTTCAAAGGCACTGACGACCAGTTCGTCGACTACTTCATCAACGGACAACGTAAGGAAGCTTAACTAGTGACCATCATAGTTTAAATGGCAGATATTACAGTTTGGTGGGTGTGACATTAGATGATTAGAGGCCAAGTCACGTCCTGCCTGCTGCATAATCTTCAACGGCAGTTCTATAGCTAGGTTTGGGCTTGTCACCGATTCATGAAGTATCTGGCCACTCGCGCGTGCTGCTCCAGTATCTTTCACGTATTAACGTTCTACTCGTTCTAAATCTCTCCTCGAACGTATCTTCAACGGGTCCTACTAATACAGAACACACCGTTCGTGTATAATCTCATTTATTAGCCTCTATACACGAATATAATCTCACCTATTCACGCACACCTAACAACCGACTAGTGACCGCTAGCTAGATGGCCGAAATCAAACCTAACTTACGTATTTGCCGACGGCTTTCATCATCCACGTTGGCAACCTTCACTAGTTGCCAGCTATTGCTCTTAATCAAATCATCATGTATGTTTGTAGATTATAACATTTGGAAAAGTAAGAACAACCTAACGCTTTATGCAGCCCTATGTACGGACATTCTGTCATCAAAAGTTAAGAGATTGTAAGTCCATCGGCCAATCAGTGACGGCATTTTGCAAAAACCACCAATAACAGATGAGAGCTGGACAACGTGAGTGGTACTTAGCTGGGTGACGTGAGTACTGGTGGTAGTCCGGTACTGTGGTACTCTCTGGAGCACTCTGGTACTCAGCGCGACCACGTGAGTACAGAGTACTGAGTACCCTGGTACTGAGCTGGACAACTTGAGTGCCCTGGTACTGAGCTGGACAACTTGAATGCCTTGATACTGAGCTGGACAACTTGAGTGCCCTGGTACCGAGCTGGACAACTTGAGTGCCCGGGTACCGAGCTGGACAACTTGAGTGCCCTGGTACGGAAGTTTCTAAACGTATATCTCACTTGTGTGGGTCGCCCTGACCCAGTTTAGCAAGGAAACAAAGCATTTCAGTAAACTGGGATAATGACAGGAAAAACAGCCTTCCAGTGAATTCGGAGAAATGAGGAGATATTGTCCAAATATCGATGCACTTTTTATCCTTGTGTGAGTCATCCTGACCCAGTTTGGCCCGGCAAAAGGAGTATCAGTGCTACGTATAACGCACTCTGATGGTGCTGTGGGCAGTAGTGTGTCACAAATTGAACAATATCACCCACTGAATTTTCTGGGTGAATAATGCCTCTCTGCCTTTGAATTAAATATTTTGAACTAAATATTTTAAATTGAAAATATCTGCATCATTTTGATATGAAGATATATTATATATTAAGCCTGTATTGTCGTACCCTGGCACCTTACAAGTGTTTCGGACGTAGCAGACCCAGGCCACGCTAAAGAGCAGACTCAGAATTATACCTACATTGTAAATTCCTGAACATGGATCACAATTTCAAGCTGATTTGTACAAATCCAGTAGGCTACGAACAAAGTTGAAAAATTCCATACAATTTGCACATGCTTATGTGAGCTTAGAAATATATGCTTTCCCATGAATCACACGTTTAGTACATTTTTATACATCACATTACTTCATTTGAAATTACGTGTGCCAACTTTCCGAACATATGCTGTGAATAACATCGTGAATGTATGTTGATATGAATGTTTTTTCTACAGGCAAAAGTGGGGCATGGAAGGAAGACATATCGGAGAAAAATGTGGCCAAAATCGACCACTACATCGCAGAGCAAATCACAGCCAAGATGCCGGGCTTGAAATTTTCCTACGAGTGATGAAGCAAAATATCGTTAACAATATTAAATGTTTTTGAAAGGGATTTTATTAAATTTGGTAATGTTGTTTTGGAATGTTTTTTTACCATTCAGAAAAAAAAATCGGGTTGTCTTCTAGGTCAGCAAACAGCGACATTGCAGATAAGATTTCCGCCGGACGATTAACCAGTTTCCGGTTGCAAGTCAAATCATTTCAATAACAAAATTGTTCGAACTAAAGAACATATTGATAAATGAAGCTCTATTCGCTATCTTTTTAAATGTTTATGGTGAATTCTTCCATCGATATCAAACATTAGTAAAATTAGGTGTTAAAGCAGACATTGATTATATACAATAAAACCTTGAACGTGAGTGTCCAGTCTGGAGGGTGTGATTTATCAGTTAGCCTTGAGTAAACAACCGCCACATGCAGGACGGCGCCACACGATCAGTGCACCGCTCGCGGTCATCAAGGTAGGTTGTGTGTTGGAGTAGCTCGTCACATGAGTGGCAATTGCTTCGTGGCAACAATTGCGTGTGCTTGTAGCAAGAAGGTGACATTTGCTGAAGAAATGCATTACATGGTGAAAATAATTATGATGGAGACAGCATGTATACATGGTAGTGAGGAATGGTGACAGCATGAATATGGTGGTGACGGCAAGTACCTATATGGTAGTGACAATTTATATTTCGTTGTGATAACAATTAAAATGGTGATGAAAACTAGTCTTGAGTTCTGTCAACAACTGTAGAATGATGGAAAATCAATAGGAAAAGATGTACGCAATTGAAATCAACTTTTTGGTCAGGATTGTGACAAAATCTCTATGGGTTCTGGGGGCACATGGATATTAATAAAAACGGCGTTTTATATATATAGAGTGGACGTGGAGAAGTTTCAATGTATTTATCGCAGACAAAATTTTGCTTTTTGTCATTTTAACGTAAAATACGCCGAGTAATCATACTTCTTATTTAGCATGGTGCTTGCCATAGCACTTGTTCCCTAATAGAACTTATTGCAGTGGAGACCTGTTCTTAACTTAACGTGGTTGCAGAGCTGGGCAGCGCTACTTTGAAATGTAGCGGCCGCTACCGCTACATGCTCTAACTGTAGCGGGCGCTACCGCTACCGCTACAATTGCTTAAATGTAGCGCCACTACCGCTACCGCTCCCGAGAATGTAGCGGCCGCTAGTAGTGGCCGCTACATGTAGCGCGCTTCTGCCCATCTCTACCTAGTTGTATATCATGATACCAAATATAACTAGTCTCCATCACTCCATGCTCTACTAGGCCCGCTATGTGGTAGTAGGGGACGGTGAAAACAACTGAATGAGGTGACGGCTCAGGAGAGCAACTACATAGTGTCCCTGACGACTAAGTATATTAACACGCAAAATGGCCAAAACCCACATTATTTTAGCTGAACATTTTAGTGAAAATGATGCCGATTTCAAGGTATTCAATAGATATCCTGTTGAAATGATGGTTCTGTAAGCGCTCTATTAAGCGCCACCTGACTGGTGGATTCGTTGGCTAAGTTCGTGAGGGATAAGTAACACACCATTTGTATAGAGAACACATCTTGATATTAGGTGGTAATACCGCTAATACGCAAGGGATACGATACATGTAAAGCTAAGTCGTCGAACGTTAGGTCGGAGTAGCTCTAATTAACGCTAGATACATCGCGGCGTGCGTACTAAGTGAAAAATCACGGAAAGGTATTTAGTTTTTTTACGTAAGGGGAGGGCATGAAAGAGAGACAAGTTCTTAAAACGTCCCGTGTCTTAATCTTAGCGTTAATTGCACCCTGTTAGGCATATTTTTTTCTTCAAAGGATTCAAATTTAAACCCCCCACCTACATATTTTTAACCCACAGTCAGCTTCTGAGGGGGGCATTACTAAGGTTCCCACCCCATTTATGGACTTCGTACCACCGTCCACCAGGTTCTTGTCCTCGTGACACATATGCTGTATAAGCTGTCGACTCAGCGACAGCTTATACACAGCTCAGCTCTCAGCGACACAGTGGACTCATAACTAACTACCCTAACAAAATTTAGAGTCGCCCCAACTTCTGGTAATTCAAATCAGAAGCTGCCGCGTCTGTGAATTTTCACCGGGTTGATCTGCTGGTAAACGCGAGTATTTGTATCCACTAACCACTATCGGACACTTCTAAGGCCTCAAATCTAGTTTGATGAGCACCATCATAAATATCTCAATTGACCAGGTTGAAGATGAAGCTGAGCAACGGGGCTGTGGTGACCCCAGTGACTGGGGAGGAGGCCGAGGACTTGCTCAAGAAAACTAATCACGCCTCACCTTCAAGGTGCTTAAAGGCTTAGGGGCGAGGTTGGAATAAACATAAGTCATGCCTCGCGATCAAAGTGCTTAGGGTTTTGATCTGGAGTTTGAGGTTGGATAAACAACAATACTGCTAATTCGATATGGTTAAAATTTGTGATGCAAAATTAAAATTAAGGTATACATACCCATGTACTCAACGCGTGTCTTGTACCACACCATGTTAGCAACATTTTAGTAGACAGCGTTCGCCTGTCGGTGATTCAAAACCCTGCCGATTTCGACCAGAATTCTTAAAACTAGTTGCGGGTCTCGAACACCCAAACCGCTGCTCCATTCTTTGGGATCTTGATCACTCTGCCACCCCGAGCTTAAATTGACTCGAAGTCTTGTGCCGCATCGATGACATTGACTCGGTATTATTGACGAAGTCCTAACTAGAAAACTAAACAACCTGCGCGGTACAAAAATTGTCTTTTTTGATGATGTCTTCATTATTTTAGGCTTGCCGACCGATGAACTCTTATCAATCAGACGATATACATGGCATCTTGCTATCTAGCAATCTAGAATAATGGACCGCTAGGGTAATCAATAACAAGGTAATGAAGAAGTTGCGCAGGCTCTTGAAGCTTATCTTATCGATTCAGCTTCATCAACACAAGTTTACGTAGATATAAAAGACACAGGATAAAACTATGTATATGGTATAGAATAGTATCGTATGAAAAAATACATAGTATAGCTTGGTAAGGTATAGTAATTATTGTACTTTATACAATAGTATGGAGAAGCATATATTATAGCAAAGTAGCGTCCGGGTTGGACATTAGGACAAGTCCGGCCTGTCGCCTTTCAGCTGTATAGTGTTCGTGACTTTGTTCTACCAAAAGTGGCAGAAACAAATATTTTGATCAGTTCTATCTAAAAAGACTTTGGAGCTGAAAATATGGTCAAGTTATCTTCTCGGTTTTTATGAGACGGACTGCCAGCGTTGAAAAACACCCATCTGGCGACTCTGACTGCATTTTTCAGCTAGCTCCCGCTACACGGTTTAACGTGTCAAACCTGCGTTTTTTTTTTTAATTTATCATGGATGAATTCCAGTTAATACCAAATCGCTGGCGGTTAGCCCATTTTAAGCAAAGCACTGCATCCACGTGCAAGCTGGAGCAGCTGATCTCAAATGCTGGTCCCATATGCATTCATGTGTCGTAATGGCCTGTACCCATACCACAGTTCCGCAGCAGTGACATCGTGATCGTGACTTATCCCAAGTGCGGCACCACGTGGATGCAGGAGATCCTCTGGACCATGTGCCACAACCCCAACCTCGACAACCCAGATGCCGACCTCAATATCTACGTACGGTCACCTTTTCTCGAGTAAGGGGCACATACGACGATCATAGTTCTGCAATTTAGTTACTAACTCGATCACTACATCTCAAGTGAGTGATAACACATAACAGCGCAAACTAAGTTCGAACATCTTCCTTATCTTATAGCCAGCACCCTTCGCAATTACTTTCAGTTATGTAAAACTACAATATTTTCCAAGCTAGAGGTGCTGAGATTGACTTTCATTATGTGTTCCAAAGATTGACATACTATTTTTCATCATGTATCTATACTTTTACTGAATTCATATACTTTTTCAACTTCTATCTGTCGTGTGTGTTAAGTGCTCGTGTTCCCGATTAAAACCCTCCCACTGTTCCAAATTTCAGTTAAAATTAATGCCCTTTTTCTCATCCAACGGGTTAGGTGAACATGTTTCCGTTTTCCACCCTTCCTCCTATCCTAAGTGTCGGTGAGCATTTGACCGACTAAGGGTTTCCTCAAGGTGTGATTGCTTGGTGGATGTCTTGCTCAAACAAACTGGCCCTAACGCCATGCTGGTGGAGGCGCTGCAGAAGCGAGACCCCACGGCTTCCCCAGATGATGGGGTGTTCTTGGGGCTCACGAAAGTGGCTGAAGACCCTCGCATCATCAAGACGCATCTCCCCTTCAGCATCCTGCCGGCCAGCTTGTTAGACACCTGCAAGGTAAAGGATCAGGCGAAATGAGAATGCGCTCAACTAGGGACAACTGAAATATGCAATAGATATAAGTTAAATAATTCAAACGTATCACTAGGTAAAATGAGCGAGACTTAGTACAAACAACGATAAACTTTTTGCCTTTGTTTTGGTCACCCTGAACCAGTTTGTCCCGAAAAGGAGCTTATCGGTGCTACGTGGAATAAGTGTCACTATTTGGCTCATTCCTTTTTCTGGATGTTAAGCCTCGAAAGTTTCGGCCTCTTGTGTTTCGTCTCAGTGGCATTTAGGTCAAAAGCATTCTTTTCTAAAAGCAAAAAAAGTTTTCACGATAGTCCAAAATTTTTGCAATATATCGGCTAAAATTTTGAACTATCGCGAAAACTTTTGCGAGATGAATATATTTTATTTTAATGACCATAATAAACAACTCTTCTGCGTAGTTGGATTTTTCCCTTAGGAAGTTACTTGAATGGACTTAATTACGAAAATAGCCACGGTTCTCAAAAATCTTAGGACATTTTTGTGGTTTTACAGTGTACAGTGAAGATCTTTTCGAGTGGTTCATGTAGTTGAGATTTGAACGAAGCTATGAGTGTAGGTATGACCTGGACATAGGCGTAAATCTTTTCGTCATTTCGTAAATCTTTTCGTCGGCGAAGATTTTTCCCTGTTCACTCACTTCATTATCCTCACTTTCCGTCTCTCATTATCCTTTATTATCCTTTAAGATTACTACACTTGATTACTCTTGAAGACTGGATTAAGGCTCTGAGATACCTCGTTATACTCTGTGATGTTCTCACCTGTTCGAAAACACTCTATCCTATAATGTTCTTTTCCCTCATCCCACAATGTTTCAATCACTCACCCTAAGCTCACCCCAGGTTGTGTACGTGGCCCGCAACCCCAAGGACGCGCTGTCCTCCTACCTGCACCACCACAGGCTCATCAAGGTGCACGACTTCCAGGGCACTGACGACCAGTTCGTCGACTACTTCATCAACGGACAAGGTGAAGAAAGCATACACTAGTGCCCACAATAACCCCAGCCTTCTCGGGAGAGACAAAAATTTGTTTACCAATAGGATCTTCCAAAGAGAAGTAGCAATAAATGTTATAGTTTTGTCAGTCACGATTTAAACTCATAAAATGGAGTTGCGGGAAAGACAAAAATTCGTTTACCGATATTATCTTCCATAGAGCGGTAGCAATAAATCTTTTAGGCTTATCTGTCACGATTTAAACTCATGAAATGAAAACTCGGGAAATACAAAAATTCGTTTACCTATGCGATCTTCCATTGAACGGTAGCAATAAATCTTATAGACTTGTCTGTCACGATTTAAACTCATGAAATGAAAAGGCGACAGTATAATTTGTGTTGCTGCCAAGCGTACAATGACAGCTTCACTCGATTTCGCGCTCGATTTCGCGAAATGATTTCGGTGTCGTTCAAGATTCAAGGAGCCCAGCCAATTTTCAAGACACTTTCTCTATATCTTCTGACAACGGCCACCAGATGTACGAGTCAGATATGGTGTAGGTTGTCTACCCGAAGGCCTCTGGCAGCTCAGGAAAGACAAGACCATATCGTCCGTACACTGCTTGGGCGCGAGTGTAAAGTCAGTAAAAAGGCCAAGATCGACCCGTTTGTGAAGGTGCCTGCGGTGAACGGCCGCAATCACGGCGAGAATTTCGAACGGATATATAAGTCAGATAAGTAGATTCTTGTTTACCCGTGCAGGTCAACGCAAAATAATCGATTTCGTTTTTCACTTCAAAATTATTCGGCAGCAAACATCGGCATGTATACATTGTCCAATTATTTGTGTATAAGGTATTTGCTAAAGATTATATATTGTACTTGGCAAGTCGAAGCAGCACCGCAACCGATATCCGTGATCATCTCCCGTCTCGTACTAATATTGACATTGACTCTTTCCATGATAATCAATCATATAAATAAATACCATTCGGTAAACAGCATCAACATTGACTGCATTCCAAAAAAAGGGGAACTGGAACGTTTGCAACTCTGATGATGTGAACAATGCTTTCCAAACGTGAACTGGTGTTTTTAACCCTCTACCACCTGACACGAGTAACCGGAGCAATATTGTCACGCGCCTACTTCCCAAAAAGGCTGCGTTCTAGTGAGCGCAAAATGACTTGCACTGATCGTTGCCGCCACGTACGACAACTTTAAAATGTTCTCTGCTGCGTACAAACGTCTTCAGGTTGCTACACTCAATAGTTTACGCATAATTTAAGTTGAAACTTATGTTCTCGGAGAGTGACATACGGCGGTAGAGGTTCAAGGCCTACTTTGTACTTATCACTTGCTATTGCTTAGTGTTAAGCTCAGTTTGTCAATATGATGCATTCTGTGGCCAACCTCCTGTTAACTGAGAGCTTGAGATGGCCGAGCGGATATGATCATTAAGATTGGATTAGTGAGTTGGGGGTTCGGAACCCGTTGTGAAAATTCTGGTCTGAATGTTCAAGTGGCTGGTTGGTTAAGAATCAGTGTCAGGCCAACATGGCCTAACTAAAAGCTAAAACCGCAAGATAACTATATATATCTACGTCTTTTTGGGTGTTGGTCACATTTCGACGTCGGTGTCACGATTAATTTTGGTTGATCAACATTTCAACCTGAAATCCTCAATCATTCTACATTGTTTCAAGGTCAGATATCTGCTGGGCATGACTTTTTTTAGCAAGCTAGTAGAGTTTAGTATGCAGATGCATTATATTCCTGAAAGCCTTTTTTTAGTCATAATTTCACTGACACAGACTTCTAGCGTTCGTGGGTTGCCTTGGTTGTTCTTTCTGTGAGACAACTCGCTGGCAAAATCTTAAGACTTACCTAAAAGTTAGTACTGTTCACATTATAAGCATGACGCTTTTCGGGTTTATGGCCCTAAATAAAGGAGCCTGAACAGCATTCGAGTCCGTCCGCGGCAGTACCATCAAGACCTTCTAACATCATCAATTCATTAATTTCAGTTTTTAAAATAATTAAGACCCTCTTGTTGATAATAATTATTACTTAAACATCATCAAAGCCTCCCTGCTTGTTCAGTTCTGCACGGTGGGTACGCGGACCACCTGACGGAGGCGTGGCCGCTGCGGGGCCACAAGAACTTGGCCTTCCTCTTCTACGAGGACCTCAAACGCGACCCTTGAGTGCCTTTCCTCACAATAATCGGGTAACGCCTGTGATTCTGGCCACGATTTGCTACACTCGTCATGAAGTTATTCTGGGTCTGCTTGGCCACTCGATCGAAATCAGCTTCTGGTCAGAATCTCCTTTCCGACTTTATAGTGTCCTGAAAGTATGACAAGTGTGTCCTGAGAGTATGACGATCGTTACCCAGTTCCTAGTCATGCCGAGCTTGCAAGCTGCTGAGAATCTTCCCTTCAAGCCCGGCCGAAGTGGACATGAGCGGCTGATTCACGTGCTCCCCGAGTCCTAATTGGCACCTGATGCAGAGTCGGGCAAAAAATCTAAATTATCGTAGGGCTGGTCCTTAGTTCGATCACGTTATCGTTCAGGCGTCTTTCATACGATGTAAAATTATTTAGTATCATTCTAAAGCCTTGTCATGGACTGAATGGCATTCGTACGAGGTGCAGTCTTCGTAATGCATTTCGTACACGGTACAGTCGGCCTAATGGTATTCGTACGATGTGCAGTCGCCCTAATGTTATTCCTACGAGGGAGCAATCGGCCATGTGCTATTCCTACGTAGGAGCAGTGGGTCTAATGTTATTCGTACGGCGTGCAGGTGAAGAACCGCACGGGCTTCTCGAACATGAAGGCGCGGATGGGCACTCGTATGACTGAGTCCTCGGACGCCGTCAAGGAGCAGAGCGTCGACGTCATCTACGACAAGAAGGCGGTGCAGAAGGCGGGCTTCTATCGTAAAGGTGATCTTAATTTGATTATTTATTTAATTACTTTATTAAACTTCTTAGGTCGCTAATAAATCACATAATTGGAAGGCGTCTATAGTATAGATCCCCGATTCTCGTTCTTCAATACACGAAAAAGTCCGCTTGTAGAACGTTCACTTCAAAGAGTGTTGTCTAAAACCTGAGTTAGTTTATACTACACGAAATTTTAATCCTGTATGCAATTGTAAAGCTGTAGGTTAAGTTCATCCTTATTCATCAGACCAGAAACTTGGGCAATTAGCTGGGTTCGAACCCACACCTCTCTATCACAATCATGGTACTCAGAACTATAACCACTGGGCCACCCTTTTTAAATATGTTTTATATATTACCATATTTATTTTTTCCAGGAGAGAGCGGGTCGTGGAAGGAAGATATCTCGGAGAAAAATGTTGCCAAAATCGACCGCTACATCGCAGAGCAAATCACAGCCAAGATGCCGGGCCTGAAATTTTCCTACGAGTGATATTCCGTTTTAATGATGACTTCGGAAATACGATCAGGATTTTATATAATTAGGATCCACTGATCTAATATAACTTTGTTATCAGGTGATCGGGAGGTCCGGGTATATTCGCATGAAATTTTAATTCAATACAATTGTTTGTTAATTTTTGTAATTATTAATTCACACCCCCTTATCATTACATTTTTTTGAAGTTGGCTTGGACGTTAGACGTCGTAGAGTTTGGCTGGATTTTTTTCTCACGGTGTCTGTTTAATTTCAAACATGCCAAAAACACAACACAGACACCAGAAAAGAAAATGTCAAATTTGGTTATACATCCCCGTGGCATGTAGAAAACTCGTTTGTGGTACAAAATATACCTAAGAAGCAACATGCACAAATTTATGCATTCAACATTGTTATGAATGTTTTAGGTTTTTTCATAGTTTGAACAATCAGTGGTGGGAAAAATTCTTGAGCAATATTTAGGAAGATAAACAAATGAATTTTTTCGGCAGAATTGTTTAAGGCGAGCCTATCTAGAATATACTCGTAAAAATAATGCTGTTGGCATAATTTTCAAAGTCCTTACCGTGGTCAATGACACAATTTTCAAATTAGTGAATTTCATAATTTGAACTAATTTTGGTCATGCGATCTAGTAAATTGGCTGAACAACGTTAATTTTCAGCTACTGCGGACGAGCCGTAGTGATTAGAGGTTATCGGTCTTCTTCTGCTCTGCGGACGTGCGTCATATCATAAAGTAGCAAGAAAGGAAATATAAATACCTAAACAAGAACTAGACTACTAGAGTCTTCATGAGAGATACCAATATCTAATATGAACATTGAAACTAAAGTGCAATAAGTGATACATAGCAATAATAGACCAACTAAATTTCTTCTTGAACTTCTTTCCCTTGCTTTCAAAGTTTCAACCTTTCATCATGCATCATGCTGAATTGCTGATGAGCTGATCTTGGTCTTAACACAACTTTTCACACCCTTCTAGAGTCTAGCCTCTACTTAGTCTACTATAAGTTTAATATTGTCTGATTTGTCTCTAACTGAAGTCGTTTCCCTCTTCTCCTAATTAAAATAAATATGTGCTGTCGAGTGCCGTCTGTGCCGACTGTGACTTGGTGATACCGTGATAGATTTGATATTCATACCTAATACCTATTGTATTAAAAGTCTGCACTTGAAGTCTTTGATGGCAAATTTAAAATAGGCTATTGGCCGTTGGCCCAATTGACAGGTTGATGAGTGATGACAAGTTTTCTGAAAATTTTGAAGGACACAAATTATTTTAAGCTGCCTACTACTAGGCTACTAGGAATTGTTCAAGGTGTTTGTTAATTGTTATAAAAATTGCAAGTACCTATAAGTATAATGTATTGTTAAACTTAGAATTTATGCTAAAAATAAGGCAAGGACCATGGTCAGGAAGATGTGCCAGGTGCGCGGGAATTTTTTTTGTCATTTTAACGACCTGCGCGGTGCGCCGTACAATGCTGGTAAAAAAATGCGCCGTGCGCCGTACTTTAGAAAGTCGACAATATACGCGAGTATATTGACTACGCGAGTCGAACTGTCAATAATAAAATGTAAGACATGTCCGGGTTACTTTTGACTCTTCCGCGTTCTGCTTGTCGGATATGGAACGTACGGTAATCGTAAACTGCGGCTTACGTCTGTTCCTCCACAAACTGCTCGTACGCCGGTAACGCGGCAGCACGTCTTCCGCGTTCCGCTTGGCGGATACGGAACGTACGGTAATTGTAAACTGCGGCTTACGTCTGTTCCTCCACAAACTGCTCGTACTCGGCAGCGCGACGTAGAATTGATGGCCGGGATTGCGCGAACACGTGCGCCAAGTGAATCAATTTTCATTACATTGCGCGAACTGTGCACAGCAATAGATTAAAAAAAAGTGAAAATACGCGGGAAAATTCACCGAAAACATACATCATCCTGAGTGTGGGGCAAGGACACCTGGAAACAATTTTCAGCCTTTCAGGATAGTAATTATTTAGGATAATTATAATAGGTTATTGGCTGATTGCAAATTGCAATAAATTAAAATTGCTTTGATTCACATTCACATTGCGTTGCATGTTTCATAATTTGTTTCATAATTTGAAACATTCTAAAGTAATTTAGCCAGTTTACTAATTTAAATTTTGATATTCAAAATTAATGAAATTATTTCTCTAACAGAGATATAGATATAGTTATACCAAAAAAGGCAAAGAAGCTTGCATTGAAAAATAGAATATTAGCTTTATCAGGCTAAATTTACTAAAGGTGTGATTAAAAATCATTTTTTTACAGTTAATCTGGTGTCAGCACATTTATTACCTGAGCTATGATTGAATTGTTGGAGCCATTATTTCTTAAAATTTTGAGCACCTGAGTCCATTTTTTGAGCCAATAATTCCTTTTCTATGTCATGGAAAACTGTTCTTGAGCTGCAAACTCATTTGCCAAAGGCAAGTTTATATATGTTCCTAGCAGCCTACTGCCTTGCACATATATTATGCAAAAATTTGAAACTATGCAGTTACATTTTAATATACATTTTTTAATATACAAAAATATGTACTTTTGTCAAAGAAATAATGCAGTTATAATATAGGTATGTGTTATTTATATTAATAATATAATGCAGTGACTATGCAATCATTAACAAAATGTTTTGGGTGCAGACGTGCTGTTATGTTAAGGATATTTAAGTGGAAGTATGGTACTAAACTGTGGAAGTTTAAAACCTAAAAAAAATAAGATACAGCTTACAAATGGCTATCCATGGCTTGGAAAATATATTCATAGCTAAAAAGCATTACAAACAAGCAACTTCATCTCAAAATTGTTGATGAATCTAACAGTCTTCGTGAAAACATTATCAAACTCCGAACTAAACGCGATAATGGCCCTCGCAAAAACTCGGGAGTTGTCCGAGGGGCCGTTGTGGTCTATAAATTTTGCTTCAAAGAAGGTTGTAGACTTCTTCATCTTTTGGACTACATCGGACACTTTGGATCAACAACCAAGACACCGAGACGCTATCTCATTAGCTACCTCCAACCCGGAGGGCAAGTGAACCACACGCGACAATCTCACAACCAGACCGTCACTCGCTTTGTGCTGAGGGAACCCGCCAGCATTGTCATCATGCAAGCAGTGGCCTGACATCAACCGACCGAAGATGGCTAGCCGCATCGTCTCTACGAATTGGACGCCTGCTACCTCTTTCCTAACTACCAGATTTGGCTGAACTTTGAAATTATTTTCAGAGTGATTTTCTGATTCAAAATTTTACTATAGTATCCTATTTACATGTGTTATGTACTTATTTCCACCAGAATTTTGATATTTAATGCTCTTTGTAACTTGAAAATGAATGTTTGTTACATTCGAAACGTCGTTAATAAACTAAAACTACTTCCTGATATATTCTTTTCGATCTACCAACGTCATCTGAAGAATTGTCCGACTTTGATAATTTAAATCAACTATTTCTCTGGTCGTTAATCGCATGCGTATAAATCAACAAATTCTGCCATCTAAAACTAATCATAGCTAAAAATAGACTCTCAGCTATAAAAGAAACAATGAAAAGGCTAAAAAGAATTTACTTGTCAGTCATGGCTTTGAGAATTTACAGAAAGATGTTTTCCATCCTTTCCCAGGGTGTAGAGCAGTGGTTCCCAAAGTTTTTCAGGCTGGTGCCCCCCTTGGCTCTCCAGTGAATCTTTAGCGCCCTTCCCGCTGACAGACACTTATAAAAATAAACACCTCTTTCTTAATATTTAGTATGCTGCAATTTTGAAAGAAAAATGTTAAACACAGATCTTTCCACCGCCCCCAGGGGGGCAATATCACCCACTTAGGAAACCACTGGTGTAGAGAGTGAGCAAATATCTTAGAATTTTCATTGACAATTAGCATTGTAATTGATATCTTGTAAGCATTGTAATCAATAGCATTGTACCGTAATCGATATTGAACACAGTTATTTTGGAATAAATACACCTTTACCTGTATTTTTACAATAAATCTCACATTTTTTATTGTAATGTGTTGTGTCAACATATTTTCAATAATACTGGAGACATTTTGGACCTGAAAACCTGGTCATGGCAACACAATTTCTATATTATATTGGCAAGAGATGTTTATTGATTAATCAATCAATTTTGATTGAAATTTGGACCTGCAAGTAAACATATATATTATATTGTATTGTATTATATTGTATTATATTATATTATATTTTATTATATTATATTATATTATATTGTAGTTGCCAATTTAAGGACAAGCTTGAGAAAGCTGGAAAAAATACCTATATCATGCTGAAAGAGGTCCTACTTTACAGTATGGGGCAGGTGCAATTGTCGAATGCACAGTTAATACAGATATTGATTTTATTTATTTACAAATCTTGAAATTATTAATTTCCTGATGATATAAAATTTTTACACTTTCCTGGGTGGCTGTGACTGATTTATAGGTTTCTTTCTGCTCATTCTCAATCTATTAATAATATTACTATATTACTTAGTTTCAAATATGATGAGTACCTAGTGATATAGGTATATTATTTAGCATGTTATGTAATATTATTAAATTATGTTTAAGTGAAACTGCATTTTTGCAAATTGATCATATCAATTGTAAAGACTTCCACACAATGATGTTAAAGCTAACATATCTTCATACCTTATTATTTACAATTAATCAGTATTGAAAAATCTTTACAGAGTGAATGCCATTTTTTTTGCCATGTTAAAAACTTCTACAAATTGATAGTCTATGATTTAGTCAATATTTCTACACTATTGTCAATACCGAATAGTTGCAAACTCTAAATTATTGTGAAGTGAGATATTGTAACTATTAAAATCATGTTAATATAGAAGATTTATATGGTATTTTATTAAGAGATAATCAGTTTGTACTGTGAAGAGAAGGATCATGGCTGGGGAGGAAGATAAGGATGCCAAAATTGCAGGTAAGTAATTTTTTTGTCTATTAGCTTGTTTAAATTATTAAATACTTCAACCCACTAATGTTCTTGTATGTAATCCTGTCTCCCTTTGCATGGACCATTGTTGTGTCCAAGTTTGGTCTTAGCTAGTTTGGAATAAAGCACAAAAATGTTGAAAAATTTAATTCATTTTTTGACAAGCTGTTAACTTGTCCTAGGGAATTATATTGACCCATTCATTTTTCCTAGTGTATATGGCTAGATCTAAAATGGCTACCACCTATATACACTTAAATATATAAAATTATATATATTGATACCATATTGCTTTACTATGCACAGTCATTCTTGACTATATGTAATATGTAAGGTATAGACATGACGTAATAAACAGTTGCTATTTATATGATATATAATTGAGATATTTTTGTATACAGCGCTGCAGCAGCAGGTGTTGCAGCTGCAGGAGAGCAAGCAGCTGCTGGAGAAGGAGTTTGGGGAAGGACGAGCCAAGCTCAAGCAGATGTACCTGCAGAAGGAAGGTGCGGCTGTAGGTGCATGTAGCGGCTGTATGTACATGTAGCGGCTGTATGTACATGTAGGGTGTGGCTATGTACGTGTATTGTGTGGCTGTATGTACATGTAGGGTGTGGCTATGTACGTGTATTGTGTGGCTGTATGTACATGTAGGGTGCAGCTGTATGTACAGTAATATAGGAGACAAAGTAAAGGGTGTGGCTGTATGTACAGTAATGTTCTAGGAGACAGGGTGCAATTTCTAGGAGACAACACCTGCAATTTGTTGAAAGTAAATATTGAATTGATGATTGCTTCCTGTGATGAATTTTTCTTGCTTGAACTTAAAAAATTAGGAGGATACAATGGTCGTGTTCTTGAATTAAAATAGCCAAGCCACACTAAGCAACTACAATGGGCTTCCATTATTATATAATTTCATTCAATTAATCAATAAAACGCCCATTGTAGCTGTACGTTTTATTAATGTTCTCCTATAATGAAAGTGAATGTATTGTTCTCATTCAAAATTTGCTTGCATATGTATGCTGTTCTCATGTTTATATACAGTGCATGTGTTAATGTATTTTCTTCTCATACAACAACACATGAAGATGTATGTCTCTCTTTTTTCCTTGTACAATATACAGCATTTCATGTATTCTGACATATTTCTATGAGAATTCATGTACAATATACATGAAGTCATCATGAAGTCATGCACTAAAAACTTAATAGCAAAGAAAACTCCACAAAAATTCATAGTATTTTTACTCTCATTTTAGTCAAGTCATGCAGTCTCATATGAAAATTCATGTACAATTCGTATACATGAATCCTCATACAAAACACAAATGCATGTCTGTATGGTGCCATACAAAACACAAATGCATGTCTGTATGGTGCCATACAAAACACAAATGCACGTCTGTATGGTGCCCGCAGAAGAGGTGCGCGCCCTGAGGCTGGAGCTGGAGGAGGCCAACAGTCGCGTCGTGATCGCCGAGTGTACGGCGGACAACCGCGTGGACACCGAGCAGCGCAAGTGTCGGGAGGAACTGGCCACTCTAGAGCAGCTGTACCGGGGTGAGTGGTGCAGTCTAGAGCAGCTGTACCGGGGTGAGTGGTGCAGTCTAGAGCAGCTGTACCGGGGTGAGTGGTGCTGCAGCGTAACGCAGCTATTTAATAGTTTTTTAATACTCAAAGTATAAACGTTCCACTATAAACGTTCCACTATATCGTCATTGAAAACGTTCAATGACTACATGGTGAATTGATGTGGCATCTTTTTTGCTTTAAATTCGCTTATATCAAAACATATGTTTGAATAGTGTCATTATAGATATATATTTTTTCTTAATATAATATAGTTCTCTTATATTTGTTGTAGATATAATATTGTTATATTATAAATATATCGCTTCAGCGACTGTACAACAGCTGGTGTTACAGCGCGCCATGATGGATCACTGGATACAGTGTGGCCAGATGGGCCTTTTTCCGGACAAATTCCAGGGCCACTTTGGCCCTTTTAAATTGCATTGGTTGGCAGATAAATACTTGGCCGTAAACCGATCTAATTTTTATCGGCTAAAAAACTTTTAGGCCTTATTTGTTACAGGGCGTAATTCAAATTTTCTTACAATATTATTTAAAACATTATGCAATTTACAATGTAATATTTACAAAATATTCAAGTGTGGCCGGTCATGGTCCTTTTTGTGAGCGGATATGGCCGATTTCTCACGCCAGCATCTGACAACTCAGTCTCAGCTGACTCAGTGCGCGTCTGGCAGTGATAGGGGGAGGTTGTGTGCCGGTGTCGCTGCTGCCGTCACACAAGTGGGCGTCACGTATACAGATTAGAAAGTTCCGTTTGACAACACAGCTGTTACTGCCGCTTGGTTAGTTGCATGTAACGCTGTTATTTGTCGTTATTTATGTGCCTTCCGTTTTAAATGTATGAAAGAAAGCTACAATAAATAACAAAAGTGTAGATTTTCCCCATAATTATCGTAGTTCGTGAGCATATTTATGGTGCCTTCCGTTATAAATACAAATCCCAACTTGGAATTTTGTAGTCGCTTTTCTATTAGTTTTTTGAGATCTACAATCTGAAGTAATAAAGTTAGCGTGTAAGGCTTCGTATGACTGTTATTCAATACTGTTATGACTGCAGTTAGTGTGTAGCGTGCAGTTAGTGTGTAGCGTGCAGTTAGTGTAGCGTGCAGTTAGTGTAGCGTGCAGTTAGTGTG